CATTGGGGTCAGCACATACCTGCCAGCCTCTCTTGGTTAGGAAGCTGTGGGGAGAAGCAGAGGATCAAACACTGAGGAATCCTACAGGGGATCTGGGGCCCACGGTGGTCCCTCCATTCCACCCCCTGCCCTGGGCAGCTCAGAGAAGCTCTGCCTATGTTACTCCAGAGGGTCTCTCCACCAACTCAAGAGTATCTCAGGTACCCTGCCACCTCCTTCTTCTTGTCCCTTCTCTCTGAGTTTGGGGTCCCACCTTCCCGACCAAGTCAGGTCACATTTAAGAGCTGAATCCTATATACGGGACAGGCCCCACAAGACTGGGCCTGTCTAGGGTTGCTCTCCTGGCCTGTCTCTGCCCGTGTGGGGCGGTCCTCAAGGTTGGGCAGGAGAAGGACACTTACATGACACCTGGCTGGGAGCACTGGCTGCTGGTCTCAAAATAGTCCTCTATGAATTTGCGTTGAATCTCCCGGGCCACGTAGGAGAAGTAACAGGCCATCGGGGAGTCTGCACCCACTTTGGAGAAAGGGACAGAATGAGTCCAGATCATCATCCAGAAGGAAAGGCCACCAGCTGCCACATCCTCAGAGGCTGAGGAAGAGCCCTACGCAGGGTGGGGACTGCAGACCAGGCCTCGGGAAGGCATTTGGGCATTTCTGCCTAGAAACCTCATGTCAACTAAGAACAGAGCAGGGAGGAAGAGCAGGAAGAAAAGATTAACATTAAACAGATACATGTGGTGGGATGGAAAGGGAGAGAAAGGGAAATTGCATGGTAATGGAGGGAGACCCTCATTGTTATACAAAATTACATATAAGAGGTTGTGAGGGGAATGGGAAAATAAACAAGGAGAGAAATGAATTACAGTGGATGGGGTAGTGAGAGAAGATGGGAGGGGAGGGAGGGGGGATAGTAGAGGATAGTAAAGGTAGCAGAATACAACAGTTACTAATAGGGCATTATGTAAAAATGTGGATGTGTAACCGACGTGATTCTGCAATCTGTATTTGGGGTAAAATTGGGAGTTCATAACCAACTTGAATCTATTGTATGAAATATGATATGTCAATAGCTTTATAATGTTTTGAACAACCAACAAAAAAAATAAATTAAAAAATAAATAAATAAATAAATAAAAATAAAGAAAAAAAAAAAGAAACCTCATGTCTCTGTCTTCCTACTGTCTCTGTTCTCCTTGCTTCCTGACTCTTCTTTGTGTGATTCAGAAAACCAAGCAGACTATTCTCCTCTCTTCCTTCAGGGAATTCTGTTTGGTTCAAGATGTCACACCTCAGCAAAAAGAAAGGTCTAGGACATCTATCTTAAGATCCAGTGGGCAGAGCTCCTGGGGAAGCCTGGAGTGAGCTGGGGAATCGACCACATCACTGGGAAGGAAGTACCCAGGTCTGGATTCTGCCTCTTGCAAACTCAGTGGTTTAGGGCTCCATTTTTTCATGCCCCAACCCTGACTCTCAGGACTGGGGACTAGGAGAGCTAAGATCCCTTGTAAAGATGAAAAGTCCTTAAGAGAAAGCTCAAAGTGATTTGCAGCCCTTTGAGAAGTTTTCTCTTTTCTCCTGGGTTCTGGAGACCACAAGAAGAGATTGATGTGGTCTCCCCAGGGCCAGAGAGTGGGGACTTCCGCCACAATAGGGTGGACTCACATGGTGCGGAGAGGACCTGTTTGCAGAGAGCCATGGTGCAGAGGAGGACAGCAAGAGCAGCCGTGGAGACCTGCATGATGTTCAGTGGATGATGGAGTGTGGTCTCAAGTATGAGCAGATCCAAGAAGGGCCTGGGTCCTCCCTGCTGCCTGTGTCCTTCTGGCATGTGAAGCCATCTGCCCTTCTCTTTACAGGCAGCCCTGGAGGGTGGGAAAGTGGAATCTGAGGTTGCATGGGGAAATTTTTAAGTATAGCAATGTTGTTGTGATGTTACACAATTTGGGGTCCTTGGTGACCACAGGTACTCAGGATATCTAAGAATAGCATCTCTGAGCTGTAGGTCTCAACTCTAGACTCATGACTTGCTCTGTTTTTTGGGGGGGGAAATCGTTTCCCTGTGAGAGAGAGGAGACGGGTGTGTTTCTGCTCAAAGCTACTATCAGCTGGTCCCTTCTCATAAGAACTTATTTATGGATGACCTCTTCAGTGCCATTCCTTTCTACAGAACTGAAACTCAGTGCTTTCTCAGTCTCTGTAACCACGTGGGGTTGACATGTGGATGACAGCAACATCCCCACCCCCAAATCCTGGACCTGAAATAAGGAATCCCCGGCTAGAGGAATGGAAAGTTTGATGTCACGTTTCATTTGTCCATTCATTGAACAGTCATAGAATGACTAGGGGACTCTGTCACAAACTCTATTTGTGATTTATGAAGTTCCTTTAGGTGTGGCTGTCAATATGTCAGAAGCCTAAAAGTATTTATGCCCACTAACCAAGAAAAAGTGTTTCTAGGAAAGAGTTCTACAGAAACAAGTCAGATATGGTGGTATCATCAAACAAAAAAGACCCAGCATCATTTGTAATTTTCCTCTAGCAACTACAGTTAACTATTTGATGTCCATCTTTTTGAATATTTACTATATAAATATATATGTATATAAGAATTTTTAGGATTAAAAACAAAACTAACATGTATAGTTCTGTATCATATACGTAGAGTGTATATGCATACAGCAGAGTAAGTGGGCACACCTTTTACACTTACACTTAATAGGATGGACACACGCATAGACAGAGGTGTGTGCAGAATTCGCAGCAGAATATTCCATGGATGGACATCTTAATTCCCCCCCCCTTTTTTAATCCCCTCCTGATGTTTTCCTTTTTTGTTTTTTTAAACTAGCCATACTGTAAAAAAAAAAATCCTTGTGTCTACATATTCCTATTCTTTGGCAGTGTTTCTATAAAATAGATTCCTGAAAATGGAATCAGGTCAAACAGCAGTTTTTGTTTGTTTTTTTGTTTGTTGAGTTTGTTTCTTTGTAGTACTGAGGATTCACTCCAAGGCCTCAGTCATGCTATGCAAAAGCTCTACCACAGAGCTGCATCCCCAACCCTAGTATGTGTGGTTTAGTATTTGCTAAGTAGTAGTGTTTAAATAAACTTCAAAGTGTTTGATTACTACGATTCTACACAATTTTTTTTATACCAGGGATTGAACTCAGGGGCACTCTGTCACTGAGCCACATCCCCAGCCCTATTTTTTATTTTATTTATAGACAGGGTCTCACTGAGTTGATTAGTGCCTTGCCATTGCTGAGTCTGGCTTTGAACTTGTGATTGTCCTACCTCAGCTTCCTAAGGTGCTGGAATTACAGGCGTGTGCCACCATGCCTGACTTCTAAACAATTTGGATACAAAAATCAGATTATTTGGAACATGAAATAATTGTGGCTCATAAAAATTAATACAGGTTTGATTTTTACACATCTTTTGAATGTCCCCTTCTTCTGAAAAAGGACCCGAGCTCAGTGTGTATTTCTTGTACTTACAACTGCAACCCAAGTAATCCCTCTGTTAAATAACTTACCTTTCACAGCAAATGTATAAATATAGTTTTCCTCCACATAGAAACTCATTTACACCTCTCCCCCACCAACATTAGCCATTTATTTTGTGGAGTATGGTTTTTAGAGAAATAATGTATGCTATACCTATAACCCCATACAGATATACACCACATTTGGGAAGGAGTGGTGTATCCTGTTACCTAAGTCAGAGTTCTTAGCCACTAACCTGCATGCAGCACTCCTGGTAAACTTGATAAAAACATCAGTTCTCAGGTTCCATCCAGAGCATTCTGGTGGGAGTGGCTTTTGAACTGTTGCCTGTGATTTGAGTATAGGTAGATCACACCTGGGGAAATCACTTGGGCAGTGTTTAATAGCACACAGTATGTAGTTAAATGAAGGTCTAGTTTGGGAACTCAGTTGTGCCATCTACATGCAGTGTGATCTTGGACAACTTTCTGACCCTTCTCAAGCCCAGATTTACTTTTCTGTCAAATGGGATGTTAATAGTACTACTTAAGCTATCTTATTGCATTAGTAGGATTGAATGGAATATATATATAAAAAGCACATAGATTTGAGAAAGACTCAAAAACATTAGCAATTTCTTATTAACAAAGCTTTATTTATCATAAGCAATCAGTAGAGAATACTCTGCCTAATGGTATCTGAAGGATATGGAAAAGACAACCCTGAAAACAGGGTGGCTGGACAGGAGGGAGGGAGGAGGAAGCCATCACATTGATGTCATTGATCCTTTCCCAATACATCCTTTCCCAGTGACCAGACAATCCCTGGGAAGGAGATCTCCCCCAAGCCTAAAATGAGAATCTCTGGGAAGAATCCAAAATATTGATCCTTCCCCAAATAAATCTTTTCCCAGTGACAGTACAATAGATCCTGGAGGGAAAGGGACAAGTGCTGAATGCTGAACTCTGCACCCTCCATCCTTCCCAGTAAATACAAATTTCAAATGCACACACCTGTTTAATGAATGTCCAAACTGATATGTTCTGATAAAGTCTTCAATGGTTAACTCATCTCACAGTGTGTAACCTATATAAACCCGTACCTCCCCCATGATCAGGGCCATTTTCCATCCAGGGAGTGAGCCCTCTGATGCCTGACTCTTCTACTAAATAAAAGGCATAGCTGGTCCATGAAGTTGGCTCCCATACAGGTTATTTGTACTTTCACTTTGGTGCTAAAACCATTTGGTTGATTTTGCTTATGGTATCCATTCAAGAAGGAAATTTTCCTAGAGCAGGTACATTAAGAATCATAAAATGTTTGTAGCTTGGAATATTCCAGAACTGCACCTCCGGTGTAGAGTGGAGTAACTACAGTAGCTCTGTTCTTCTCCCTCAAGTCCCTCCATGTCACACCTTCCTATTATTTGCCCTTATTCCTCTTAACCAGTGATTCTGATTTTACTGGACAAACAAAAGCAAACTCCATGCCAGTTTTCTTTTAAAAGTGCATCTTTATTATTTCACAGGCTGGACACAGCTCAGAGCCAAAGGAGCCACTATGTGTCGGTCAGTGCAAAAGGACCCACTCCATATCTGTCAGTTTGGTGGCTTTGATACCATGTCTGCCTAGAACAAGCCCATGACAGCCACTCGGCTGTCACCAGTGTGAACAAAGTGGGAGGGGATGAGTGACAAAGAATTTGTCCTTGGATATTTTGGAACAGTCACAAAATGAAATGAAAATAAAAATAAATTATAAAAATTAAATAATATAAATAAATAAAATCTAAGTTCAGAGTGAGGCTGTTCAGCAACAACCAGCCACAGGAGAGGTAGCTATGGAGTCACAGGGATGCTTCCAAGACTCAGGCCCCTGCTCCCCACAGGGCCCACAGAGGTCACTGGGTTCCTTGCTGTCTCCAGGCCACTCAGGCATTCAGCTCCAGGTCAGTGACGTATTCCTGGACCCAGTTCTCATTGGGGTCAGCACACACCTGCCGGCCTCTCTTGGTTAGGAAGCTGTGGGGAGAAGCAGAGGATCAAACACTGAGGAATCAACAGGGGATCTGGGGCCCACGGTGGTCCCTCCATCCCACCCCCTGCCCTGGGCAGCTCAGAGAAGATCTGCTTATGTTACTCCAGAGAGTCTCTCTCACCAACTCAAGAGTGTCCCAGGGTACCCTGCCACCTCGATCTTCTGTCCCTTCTCTCTGAGTTTGGGGTCCCACCTTCCCGACCAAGTCAGGTCACATTTAAGAGCTGAATCCTATATACGTGGCCTGTCTAGGGTTGCTCTCCTGGCCTGTCTCTGCCCGTATGGGGCTGTCCACAGGGTGGGCAGGGGAAGTGTCACTTACATGACACCTGGCTGGGAGCACTGGCTGCTGGTCTCTAAATAGTCCTCTGTGAATTTGCGTTGACTCTCCCGGGACACGTAGGAGAAGCAGCAGGCCGTCGGGGTGTCCGCACCCACTTTGGAGAAAGGGACAGAATGAGTCCAGATCATCATCCAGAAGGAAAGGCCACCAGCTGCCACATCCTCAGAGGCTCAGGAAGAGCCCTACGCAGGGTGGGGACTGGAGACCAGCCTCAGGAAGGCATTTGGGCATTTCTGCCTAGAAACCTCATGTCTCTGTCTTCCTACTGTCTCTGTTCTCCTTGCTTCCTGACTCTTCTTTGTGTGATTCAGAAAACCAAGCAGACTATTCTCCTCTCTTCCTTCAGGGAATTCTGTTTGGTTCAAGATGTCACACCTCAGCAAAAAGAAAGGTCTGGGACATCTATCTTAAGATCCAGTGGGCAGAGCTCCTGGGGAAGCCTGGAGTGAGCTGGGGAATCGACCATATCACTGGGAAGGAAGTACCCAGGTCTGGATTCTGCCTCTTGCAAACTCAGTGGTTTAGGGCTCCACTTTTCCCTGCCCCAACCCTGACTCTCAGGACTGGGGACTAGGAGAGCTAAGATCCCTTGTAAAGGTGATAAGTTCTTAAGAGAAAGCTCAAGGTGATTTGTAGCCCTTTGAGAAGTTTTCTCTTTTCTCCTGGGTTCTGGAGACCACAAGAAGAGATTGATGTGGTCTCCCCAGGGCCAGAGGGTGGGGACATCCGCCACAATAGGGTGGACTCACATGGTGCGGAGAGGACCTGTTTGCAGAGAGCCATGGTGCAGAGGAGGACAGCAAGAGCAGCCGTGGAGACCTGCATGATGTTCAGTGGATGACAGTGTGTGGTCTCAAGTATGAGCAGATCCAAGAAGGGCCTGGGTCCTCCCTGCTGCCTGTGTCCTTCTGGCATGTGAAGCCATCTGCCCTACTCTTTACAGGCAGCCCTGGTGGGTAGGGAAGTGGAATCTGGGGGTGCATGGGGAAATTTTTAAGTATAGCAATGTTGTCATGATGTTACACAATTTGGGGTCCTTGGTGACCACAGGTACTCAGGATATCTAAGAATAGCATCTCTGAGCTGTAGGTCTCAGCTCTAGACTCATGACTTGCTCTGTTTTTTGGGGGAGAAATGGTTTCCCTGTGAGAGAGAGGAGACGGTTGTGTTTCTGCTCAAAGCTGCTATTAGCTGGTCCCTTCTCATAAGAACTTATTTATGGATGACCTCTTCAGTGCCGTTCCTTTCTACAGAACTGAAACTCAGTGCTTTCTCAGTCTCTTTAACCACGTGGGGTTGACATGTGGATGGCAGCAACATCCCCACCCCCAAATCCTGGACCTGAAATAAGGAATCCCCGGCTAGAGGAATGGAAAGTTTGATGTCACGTTTCATTTGTCCATTCATTGAACAGTCATAGAATGACTAGGGGACTCTGTCACAAACTCTAGTTGTGAATTATGAAGTTCCTTTAGGTGTGGCTGACAATATGTCAGAAGCCTAAAAGTATTTATGCCCACTAACCAAGAAAAAGTGTTTCTAGGAAAGAGTTCTACAGAAACAAGTCAGATATGGTGGTATCATCAAACAAAAAAGACCCAGCATCATTTGTAATTTTCCTCTAGCAACTACAGTTAACTATTTGATGTCCATCTTTTTGAATATTTACTATATAAATATATATGTATATAAGAATTTTTAGGATTAAAAACAAAACTAACATGTATAGTTCTGTATCATATACGTAGAGTGTATATGCATACAGCAGAGTAAGTGGGCACACCTTTTACACTTACACTTAATAGGATGGACACACTGCATAGACAGAGGTGTGTGCAGAATTCGGAGTAGAATATTCCATGGATGGACATCTTGATTCCCCCCCCCCTTTTTTAATCCCCTCCTGATGTTTTCCTTTTTTTTTTTTAAACTAGCCATACTGTAAAAAAAAAAAAATCCTGTGTCTACATATTCCTATTCTTTGGCAGTGTTTCTATAAAATAGATTCCTGAAAATGGAATCAGGTCAAACAGCAGTTTTTGTTTGTTTTTTTAATGATTGGTTTGTTTCTTTGTAGTACTGGGGATTGACTCCAAGGCCTCAGTCATACTAGGCAAGAGCTCTACTACAGAGCTGCATCCCCAACCCTAGTATGTGTGGTTTAGTATTTGCTAAGTAGTAGTGTTTAAATAAACCTCAAAGTGTTTGATTACTACGATTCTACACAATTTTTTTTTATACCAGGGATTTAGTTCAGGGGCACTGTGTCACTGAGCCATATCCCCAGCCCTATTTTGTATTTTATTTAGAGACAGGGTCTCACTGAATTCCTTATTGCCTCGCCATTGCTGAATCTGGCTTTGAACTTGTGATCCTCCTGCCTCAGCTTCCTAAGGTGCTGGAATTACAGGCGTGCACCACCATGCCTGGCTTCTAAACAATTTGGATACAAAAATCAGATTATTTGGGAGATGAAATAATTGTGGCTCATAAAAATTAATATAGGTTTGATTTCTACATATCTTTTGAATGTCCCCTTCTTCTGAAGAAAGGATACTAGCTCAGTGTATATTTCTTGTACTTATAACTGCAACCCAAGTAATCCACCTGTTAAATAACTTACCTTTCATAGCAAACCTATGAACAGAGTTCTGCTCCACATAGAGCCTGATTTCCACACCCACTCCCCACCAACATTAGCCATTTATGTTGTGGAGTATGGTTTTTTGAGAAATAATATATGATACACCTATTACCCTATGCAGATATACACCACATTTGGAAGGAGTGCTGAATCCTGTTACCTAAGTCAGTGTTCTTAGCCACTAACCTGCATGCAGCACTCCTGGTAAACTTGATAAAAACATCAGTTCTCAGGTTCCATCCAGAGCATTCTGGTGGGAGTGGCTTTTGAACTGTTGCCTGTGATTTGAGTATAGGTAGATCACACCTGGGGAAATCACTTGGGCAGTGTTTAATAGCACATAGTATGTAGTTAAATGAAGGTCTAGTTTGGGAACTCAGTTGTGCCATCTACATGCAGTGTGATCTTGGACAAGTTGCTTACCCTTCTCAAGCCCAGATTTACTTTTCTGTCAAATGGGATGTTAATAGTATTACGTAAGCTATCTTATTGCATTAATAGGATTGAATGAATGATGTATACAAAAAGCACATAGATTTGAGTAAGCCTCAAAAACGTTAGCAATTCCTTATTAACACAGCTTTATTTATCGTAAGTAATCACTACAGAATACTCTGCCTAATGGTATCGGAAGTATATGGAAATGACAACCCTCAAAAAGGGTGGCCTGACAGGAGGGAGGGAGGAGGAAGACATCATATTGATGTCATTGATACTTTCCCAATATATCCTTTACCAGTGACAAGACAATGCCTGGGAAGGAGATCTCCCCCAAGCTTAAAATTACAGAATCTGGAAAGAATCGAAAACATTGATCTTTCCCAAACAGATCTTTTCCCTGTGACAATACAATAGATCCTGGAGGGAAGGAGATAAGTGCTGAATGCTGAACTCTGGACCCTCCATCCTTGCCCAGTAAATACAAATTTCAAATTCTCACAACCTGTTTCCTGAATGTCCAAACTGATATGTTCTGATAAATCTTCAATGGTTAAGTTATCTCCCAGTGTGTAACCTATATAAACCCGTACCTCGACTTAAACATAAGAATCATATGATCATCTCAATAGACATAGAAAAAGCGTTTGACAAGAGACAGCACCTCTTTATGTTCAAAACACTAAAAAAACTAGGGATAACAGGAACATATCTTAATGTCGTAAAGGCGATCTACCTACACTAAGCCTCACACTAACATCATTGTAAATGGAGAATAATTGAAGGCATTCCCTCTAAAAACTGGAACAAGACAGGGATGCCCTCTTTTACCACTTCTATTCAACCTAGTGCTTGAAACACTGGCCAGAACAATTAGACCGACGAAAGAAATCAAAGGGTTATGTATAGGGAAAAATAAAAGAACTTAAATTAGCCCTATTTGCTGACGATATGATTCTATACTAGAAGACCCAAAAAACTCCACCAGAAAACTTCTAGAACTAGTAAATGAATTCAGCAAAGTAGCAGGATATAAAATCAACACCCATAAATCAAAGGCATATCTGTGTATCAGTGGCAAAGCCTCTGAGAAGGAAATGAAGAAAACTACCCCATTCACAATAACCTCAAAAAAGAAATACAATATTTGGGTATCAACTTAATCAAAGAAGTGAAAGATCTATTCAGTCAAAATTGTAGAACCCTAAAGAGAGAAATCAGACAAGACCTTAGAAGATGGAAAGATCTACCTTGCTCTTGGATAGGCAGAATTAATATTATCAAAATGACCATAATACCAAAAGCACTATACAGATTTAATGCAACTCCAATCAAAATCCCAATGGCATTCCTCATAGAAATAGAAAAAGCAATCATGAAATTCAATTGGAAAAATAAGAGACCCAGAATAGCCAAAGCAATCCTCAGCAGGAAGAGTGAAGCAGGTGGCATCGCTATACAGAACTTAAACTGTAAAACAGAGCAATAATAACAAAAACAGCATGGTACTGGCACCAAAACAGACTGGTAGACCCAATGGTAAAGAATAGAGGACAAAGAAACTAACGCACAAAATCACAATTATCTTATATTAGACAAAGGTGCCAAAAACATGCACTGGAGAATAGATAGCATCTTCAACAAATGGTGCTGGGAAAACTGGAAATCCATATGCAAGAAAATGAAACTAAACCCCTATTTCTCACCATGCAAAAAACTTAACTCAAAATGAATCAAGGACCTAGAAATTAAACCAGAGACTCTGTGTCTAATAGAAGAAAAAGTAGGCCCTAATCTTCATCATGTGGGATTAGGCCCCAACTTCCTTAATAAGACTCCTATAGCACAAGAATTAAAACCAAGAATCAATAAATGGGATGGAATCAAACTAAAAAGTTTCTTCTCAGCAAAAGAAACAATCTGTGAGGTGAACAGGGAGCGTACTTCTTGGGATCAAATCTTTACCCCTCACACATCAGAGAGAGCATTAATCTCTAAGGTATATAAAGAACTCAAAAAGCTAAGCACCGAAAAAACAAATAACCCAATCAACAAATGGGCCAAGGACCTGAACAGACACTTCTCAGAAGAGGATATACAATGAATCAACAAATAAATGAAAAAAATACTCGTCATCTCTAGCAATCAGAGAAATGCAAATCAAAACTACTCTAAGATATCATCTCACTGCAGTCAGAATGGCAGCTATTATGAAGACAAACAACAATAAGTGTTGGCCAGGATGTGGGGAAAAAGGTACACTCATACTTCGCTGGTGGGATTGCAAATTGGTGCAGCCAATATGGAAAGATTCCTTGGAAATCTGGGAATGGAACCACCATTTGACCCAGCTATCCCTCTCCTTGAACTATACCCAAAGGACTTAAAAACAGCATACTATAGGGACACAGCCACATCAATGTTTAGAGCAGCCCAATTCACAATAGCTAAACTGTGAAGCCAACCTAGATGCCCTTCAGTGGATGAAAGGATTAAAAAATGTGGTATATATACACAATGGAATTTTACTCAGCACCAAAAGAGAATAAAATCATGGCATTTGCAGGTAAATGGATGGCATTGGAGAAGATAATGCTAAGTGAAGTAAGCCAATCCCAAAAAGAACAAATGCCGAATATTTTCTGTGATTTAAGGAGGCTGACCCATAGTGGGGTAGGGAGGGGAAACATGGGAGGAATAGATGAATTCTAGATAGGGAAGAGGTGAGGGAGGGAAAGGGAGGGGGCAGGGTAACATTAGCAAGGATGGTGGAATGTGAAGGACATCTTTATCCAAAGTACATGTATGAAGACATGAATTGGGTGT